TCCTTTTCGACCTGCTCCCCCCCCCCCCCCCCCTCCCCCCAAAAAAAAACTTTACACAGTAACAGTTTATTGAAAACGCTGCAGCTCAGGTTTGGACTACATGAACATATTACTCCAGTTTTAAAATATTTGCACTGGCTCCAGTATATTTTAAAGTTTTACTGCTTGTATAGAAATTACGAAATAGTTTGGGACCAGAATATATGAATGGGATGCAAATGAAATATGAACTTAGTAGGACTCTGAGATCTGTTGGCTTAGATCCAGTAGTAGAGCCCAGAGTTCAAACCAAACATGATGAAGCAGCATTTAGTTGTTGTGCCAAACACAAATAGAACAAACTACCAACAGATCTGAATTTAGCCTCAGTAAATTTCAATTCAAATTAAAAAATGGAGTTTCACTGTGTATAAAACATGCTATATAAAAGAAGTTGCCTTGCTTTGTCTGATCAATGTAAGTTTAGTGATGATTTCTGCTTGTCAGTTGGTTTCTTGGGGAACTGATCCTAATGTCTAAAGATCCTCTTTTTATTCAGAAATACAAAATGTATCCAGATCTGACTCTTGAGGACATTGAGGTTCTGATAAATCTTTTAAACGCATAATCCTGACAAATAGAATTGATTTACCACAGAGATGACTTTTTTTTTTTTACTTTTTATTTTAAGCCTTTTTTTTTTCTTTTTTTACACAACTGAACATCTAACATTCCCCTTCATTGAACACTAAAATAAAAAACAAACACACACAAAAAAAAAAAAAAAGACTTCCGGTAAGATGGCGCCCGTGTACATGGCTTGCAATCCATCTTTGCTGATGGTGTTCGGGTTATTTTTGTTTTTTGCATTTCACATCTGTGACATCAACTCTCTGCTGGTGTATGACAGACAACAACTTTTGAATCTTCGTTTTTCTGTCACTGAAGTCGCTTATTTGGAACAATATGAGCGTACCTCTGGACCCCTCCCCCCCTGCTGGCAGACGTGCCAGCTTACCTTCGCTGCGGTCCTCACCTCCCTGCCCGGAGATCTCGCTTCAGACGCCGGGGAAAACGTGCTGGTCAGCTGGTGAAGCTGAAAGCTCTGCGCGCTGCATCTTCCTCTCCTGTGTGCCCGGACCAGGTAACCAGCTTTAGTTGTCAGCCGCTGCGCAGCTCGGACCGACCTGCAGGGGCTGTTATTGAAAACCTGCGGCCATTAACGCGCGCTAACTCCACCGCTGCTAGCTCCACTTCGGACAATATCCAGATGTGTTTGGTCAACGCAAGATCTGTTACCAACAAAACTTTTATCCTCAGGGATTACTTTCAAGAGCACGATTTGGACTTTCTGTGCATCACAGAGACTTGGATGTCTCCGGGTGAGTCCAGTGCCTTGACGGAATTACTGCCACCGAACTGTTTGTATTTTAACGCCCCGCGGCCATCAGGCCGGCACGGTGGTGGATTATTAACAATATTCATATCAACTTTTGACTGTAAACAACTGCCCATCCCAGTTTCCCGCGCCAGCTTTGAGCTGAGCGTCTTTGAACTCGGACATTCACCTCCGACGTTATTTGCACTCGTTTACCGCCCACCTCGATCTAAGGACTTCATAAATGAGTTTTCTGATTTCTTGGCTGAAATCACACCAAAATATGAGCATGTTTTCATTGTTGGGGACTTTAATTTGCACGTGTGCTGTCCTGAGAAGCCCTTGGTTAAGGACTTTTTAGATTTATTGGACTCATTTAATTTAACTCAGCATGTAAACGGTCCCACCCAAGAGTGTGGACATACACTGGACCTTGTTTTAACTCATGATGTGACTGTTAATAATCTTGTTATTGGTGATAATGTCTTTTCAGACCACATGCCAGCCCAGTTTGAGTTCACCCTCCCCCATCTAACTCCTAAGCCGTGCATTCCTGCACGTAGGACCCGGACCATTAACCACTTCACTGCCGCACGTTTCACAGATGTTTATAACTCTGAAATGATAATTCAGGCCCCAGTGTTTCTCACCACCACCGAGGAGCTGACATCCCAGTTCAACTCTGTCTGCTTAAAGACTATGGATCATGTTGCACCTGTTAAAACCAAAAAAAATCAAAAATCAAAGCAGAACCTTGGCTGAGTGACATCACCAAGGCCGTTAGGCAGCAATGTAGGAGGGCGGAACAAAAGTGGAGGAAAGACAGGCTGCAGGTCTCTTTCCAGATACTTAAAGAGAGTTGGCGCCGTTATTAGAAAACAGTAAAAACTGCTAAATCAAAATTCTTCTCTGATATAATTACCTCAAACTCTCACAACCCACGTGTCCTCTTCTCCACCCTAAACTCTGTTCTCCACCTCACTGAACCATCACCTCTGGAAGCCTCGACTGAGCTGTGCGACAACTTCTTACATTTCTTTTTGGAAGAAATTGCGACAAGCAGGGCTCTCATTTCCCCTCCAACTCATGACCCATCCATCCCACCTCATCTGTAGTTCCTTTTGACCGTTTTGAACCCATCATTCTATCTTCTCTAGAGCAGGTCATGTGCAGCTTGAAACCCTCTGGCTCCCCCTTTGATGTGGTCCCCCCTCGACTACTAAAGGAGGTGATTCCAACTCTAGGTCCATCCATTCTTGATATAGTAAATGGTAGTTTATCCACAGGCGTGGTGCCAAAATCCTTTAAACATGCTGCCGTCCAGCCTCTCCTGAAAAAACCAAACCTTGACCCCTCAGTCGTTTCCAACTACCGGCCTGTCTCCAAACTCCCATTTGTTTCTAAAGTACTGGAGAAAATAGTCGAGTCCCAGTTGAAGTGCTTCCTGGAGGGTCACGCCATCTTAGAGCTTTTCCAATCTGGCTTTAAACCTGTCCACAGCACTGAAACTGCCCTGCTGAAGGTCTTTAACGACATCTTCAGATTCACAGATACCGGTGATTCTGTGCTGCTTGTCCTGTTGGACCTCAAAAGAAAAGAAGTCTGAAGTCATGTTGTTCCCTCCCAACGACACAATCACAAACCACTGCATCGACCTCTCCGCTCTAACCCTGTCAGAAAAACAAAGAGTCACTAATCTGGGCGTGATAATGGACCCTTCCCTGAAACTTAACAATCATGTGAACGTGATTGTTAAATCATGCTTCTTCCAACTGAGGCGGCTGTCTAAACTGAAGCCCATATTGTCCAAAAATAACCTGGAGACAGTAATACATGCATTCATTACATCTAGGCTTGATTACTGCAATTCACTCCTGTTTGGTATCAGTCAGACCTCCATTGCACGACTACAACTGGTCCAGAATGCAGCAGCCCGATTTTTAACCAGTACAGGCAAAAGAGAGCACATTAAACCAGTTTTGACCTCACTGCACTGGTTACCGGTTCACTTTCGAATCCAGTTCAAAATACTCATGTATGTCTACAAATCACTGAACAGTGTTGTCCCCCCCCCCATCTCTCTGATTTGCTACAACCGTATGTCCCACCACGCTCCCTGAGGTCAGCGGACCAGTGTCTCCTCACAGTTCCAGGAACTCGTCTTAAGCGCAGAGGTGACAGGGCCTTCTCTGTAGCAGGACCAAGACTTTGGAACGAGTTACCTCTGCTGTCAGACAGGCCCCCTCCCTCTCGGTTTTCAAGTCCCATTTAAAAACTCACTACTATTCAGTAACTTTCAACACCAGATGATCTGTGTTTTGATCCTGTATGCTCCACACTGGTTTGTCGTCATTATCTGCATCGTTTTTATGTCTATATTCTGATTTACCTCATTTTGTATTTTGCTTTGTGTGTTACCTGTTGTTTTGTCTGTACAGCACTTTGGTTGGCTTTGTAGCTGTTTTAAGTGCTTTATAAATAAAGTGGTATGGTATGGTAAAAAAAAAAACCCGCACAGCACAGGAATTGCCAACAACTTTTTAAAAAATAGTCACAAAAAATATACAAAAGCAATGAACCAAATCCTCTGAAAGTCACAACGAACCACCCATCAAGATGTCAGATAAACCTCCACACAGCGCCACCTTTGGTCAAAAAGATCACTGGTCATTTGTAGAACTGATGTCATCTTTTCCATAATATATACTTATTTAACCCTCCGTTTCCATTCAATTATTGTCGGGGGTTTCAAGTCTTTCCAATTTACAGTGATTAGTTTTTTGGCAACCAATAATAAAACATGTACTATATATCTCTGATTTGAGTTGAACTCTTCATTTAACATAACCCCCAGTATATAAAACAAAGGACCTGATGGAACTTCATCTGTATTATTTTCTCAAGCTCCACCTTGATGTTCCTCCAGTATGTTTGGATAACAGGACAATCCCAGAATATGTGTGTATGGTCACCTTTTTTCCCACATTTTCTCCAGCAGTATGCAGTTGAGGGATCCTTTGCAAACTTAGAGAAATGTCTTTTTGTTGGAATTTTCTTTTCTATAATGGAAATAAAGTATTGTTCTATATCATTTGGATCTTTATTAATTCTCTCTTTGTCTTTATGGTTCATAATGTAATGTATGATTTGGAGATATCTATACATATCTTTTGCTGGGAGATCAAATTGCTCCCTAATCTGTGAGAAAGATTTAAAACCTGTTTCTCCAAACAACTGGTTGAGAGTCATGAGACCTTTGGTGTTCCATTTTCTAAACCCCTGGTCTCACGGCGGAGCAGGTGTCGAAGCGCCTTCTGCTGTTGTGCCTCGTTATCTTCAACCAAACTCGTTCGTTCTTCTAAAACAGTGATTTTCTCTTCATGTACACCAATTTGGTTCCTGATATCTGCCACCGACTGCTCTAAGCGGTCCAAAGATGATTTGGTCTGACTGTGACCCTGCTTATTTTCTTCACAAAGTTTTTTAATCTCCTCCAAAAGTGTGGACTCGCTGGTTAGCTGGCGGCTAGCATTTAAGCTAGCGTTAGCTGGGCTGAGTGATTTCTGTTGGTTGTCTTCTGTTTCCTTTGAGGTCCCTTGTTTAGCTGTCTTTTGTCTCGTGGAGGAACTCATCTTGTTAAATTATTACTTACAGGACTGAAGGTTATCAAAATTTATTGTTGTCAATATATTTCTCAAAATTCCTGACGGAGCTCTGCTCTTACACTGCTGTTCCTGTCATGATGTCACCGGAAGTCCAGAGATGACTCTTGATGTGAAATTTTTCATTAATCTTAAGCTGTGTAGCTTAGATTGAGTTCATATTTAAATCTTCCTTTGTGATGTAACGATGATGACGATGTGGGTGACTGTCCTCTCTGTGTAGGTGAGCGAGCGTTTTGCTCAGTACATCGATCAGATGATTGAGGCCAGCGGGACTCCGTCTGGCAGCTTAGACACTCTGGAGCGGCTACAACAGTTTTTGGAGCCAATACTCTTCCTCTCTGGCCTGGAGCTTGCCAACACCTTTGAACACTTCTACAGGTACGAACATCTCAGGAACATGGGGGTTGAGACGTCTGAGTCATGGGTGCATGGCATGTCAGGTACAAGAGGGTCTGAAATGTCAGAAACAGGTATGATATGTTGGGGACAAGGGCTCTGACACATCAGAAAAGGGTCGAACACAACAGATGAGGGATTTGACCTGCCATGAAAAGAGGTTCTGCAACCTAAGAAACAATCTGACACGCCAGGGGCACAGCTCTTGATACACCAGGGACACTGGTCTGACTGACAGGAACTAACAAATGATGTGTTAGACCCAAGGGGTCTAACAAGTCAAGGACAAGGGATCTGACGCATCATGGGCAGGAGTCTGCCATGTCAGAGACAAGGGTCTGACACCAAGGGCATAACTCAGACACACCAGGGATACTGAGACAAGGGTTTGATATATCAGAGACATGTGTTTGACACTTCAGGAACAGAATACATTGGAGAAGGGTTTGACCTATCAGGGATGGGTCTCATGCATTACTAGCATTTGTCTGACCTGTTAAGGATACAGGTTGGAAACCTTGGGGACACGTAATTGAGATGTCTGAGGTAAGGGTCTGACACATCAGAAATCATTGTGACACCTTTGGGATACATGTCAGACATGCTAGGCACATGTGTGTTCAGTGGCATCGGTTTGTCATGTCAGAGACGAGGGGTCTGACACTACGGGGACATGGGTCTGATTTATCAGTAACAGGTGCCTGATATGTCAGGAAGGATCCGACAAGTCACGGCACAGATATGACACCTCATGGACAAAGTCTCTGGCATGTTAGAGGCACATGTCCAGCAGATGTCTCAACAAAATAGGCCAGATACACATTTGGCACCTGAAGGTTTGTTGATCTTTGTTTACATGTTCAGGTACTATCTGGGTGACCGTCTGCTTGCTCAGGGAAACACATGGTTGGAAAGCGCTGTAATTGATCAGATCGGTAGCTGCTTCCCAAGTCGATTTCCTCAGCAGATGCTGAAGAATCTCAGTGAGTCAGCCGAGTTGCAGCAGGAGTTCCATCTTTACAGGCTGCAGCAACTGGATCGATGCCTACAGGAACATGACCAGGTTGGCAAAAACCCACCACAGCTTCTGTCTGTTTGTTTACTCTGTTTTTACCATGTGTTGTTTGTTTATTCTGTTTTTATCATGTGTTGTTTGTTTATTCTGTTTTTAATCACGTGTTGTTTGTTTACTCTGTTTTTATCACGTGTTGTTTGTTTACTCTGTTTTTATCATGCGTTGCTTGTTTACTTGTGGCGTGGTGAATGGCATAATTTCCCTTTTAAGAAACGGTGTTCCTCCTCGGTCACTTGGCTCATCAGCGCACTCATCTCTTGAGGGTTTTTATCGATGAGGAGGGGGAGACACCTCCATGTTGCACGTTACAACTACGCTAGTTGAGGGCAGTGGGGGGAGGGGTTAAAATGCATGAGAGAAGCAGAGCACTACATGTGTAGCATCTTAGCTAGCATGACTGTGTTGCGCACCGCTCACATAACGTTTGAACAATGTAGCTGTCTGCCACATATACCAAGATTAGAAAAGTCCATCTGACGGTGTTAATAAGAACACCTTGAAGGATAAATATCATGTTGGGGAGAAAGGACTCAAGTAACACAAGTTTTCTGGAAAGTAAAATTGGTCAAATCAGTGATGGGGAAGGAATAGTGGAAAGAATACAATGGGAGAAGGAAATGGATGTTATTCCAAGAGGAATGTGAAGGAAAGGAGAATAAAAGTTATGAAGTGTAGAAATTGTGGCAGCAAGGAAGGAAGGAACTTTAAAATTATTTAGTTTTAATAATTACATGCCGGTTGAAAAAACTGACTTAAATGTTATTTTGTCACTATTGCTTGGCACAGTGTAATTTAGTGTTGTGAAGGCTGCATGATGCCAGGTCATTTTCTGTTGTGAGTCTATCACTAAATCAGGAAACGGTAAAAAGCCCCCCTGAATTGAATTCACTGTTGGTGGTTATTAAAATGTCACCTGTTCATTGGGTAAAGTTAAATATTCTTATTTTTAAACAAGCAGTTCAGTTCACATGAAACGTGTCCGGAGCCACAACAAGTAGCAGGTTGTGGCCATTTTAGGTTTGCTGGAGAGGGCTTTTGTGGCCAGTAGGGGTGGCATTATAAAGCAGAAAAGTATCTAATGATTTTTAACATTTATTAAAGTAAAAGACCAGATTCTTGTGTGTGTGTGTGTGTGGGGGGGGGGGGGTGTCTGTTTTTACCATCTTTTTTTGATGCATCAAGTTAAAGTATGTTTTACTGCTTGAAAGTCTTGTCCAGGCCAAAAATATTAAAGAAATTAGTTTTTGCTGTTTCCAAAATGCTCTGCTATATTTGGTGTCTCTGGTTGGCTTGCTGTTGTTGTTTGTTTATTTTTTTGTTGACTCCATCTTTCATATGTACGTCCTAAATAAATTAGGATGTGTTGGTAAATGTCTTTTTTACCTGAAGCATGTTGTCTTTTCCCCTAAGTTTACCAGAATGCTTAATTTACATGTTAAATATCACAAAATCTTTTTTTGTTTGTTTTTTAGTTGTTTATTTTTTGGGGGTGGGGGGTAGGTTTGTCACCTTTTTCATCCCTTGTGAGTTTGCAGGTATGTTCTCAGATGAACTAAATTAAATATTTCAGATTAATGCAGGGGCTTTATTGCCTTCTAGCAGCAGTAGGCTGGGTGGTCGGTCGGTTGGGTGTCAGAATGGTGGGTGGTGTCAGTGGTTGGTGGTGTCAGTGGTTGGTTGTGTAGTCTTTTGCTTGGATGGTTGGATATTGGGTTGTGTTGTTGTTTTATGGTTGGTTGGCTGATTGTTTGCTTGGTTGGACAGTCAGTTGGTCGGTTGGTTATGTGGTTGGTTGGAATATCTTGTTTGTCCAATGGACGATTAGGTGGTTGTGTTACTGGCTGGTCATGTGGTTGGATGGTGTGGTCAGTCAGCCGGTCGATTGATTGATTGGTTGGCTGGTTGGTCAGATTTGTCGTTGTATGGTTGATCAGTCATTTAGTTGTGTGGTTGTGTAGTTGGGTGTGCGGGCACAGGGTGGTTGGTCGGGTGGTTTAATGTGCCTGATTGGAATGGGAGTTTCTGGAATGTTCAGCGATCTGCATGATTTTTATTTTTGTAATAGTTTTTTTTTCTTTTCTTTTTTAGGGAAATGACGAGATGATAAATTGAAGCATCTACCCTTTCTGCAGAGTTTAAACCACTCAGAAAATTCACATGCTTTGTCCTTCACGTGTTGCCGTAGATAATGGAAGATGACTGGACAGAGATGGAGGAAGAGGCAGAGGTCCAGGTTCTTGTTGTGTCTCCACGCTGCTGGGCTGTACCTGCAGTTTGCTTTCTGGATGAACCAGCAAAACACTTTCCAGCTGAACTCTGTTCCTACCTGAACCAGTTCACCCAGTTCTACACCCACAGTGAGTGCCAGTTCTGTTAAAGCAGACTTAACTTTGACTTTAGACCAGCCATACCTCTGTTATAAACACTGATGAACTTGGTCTTTCACCAGCCTTGTTTCACTTCTAAATCAGGCTTACCATATTTTTCGCCATACACGTTGCTCCGCCCTGTACGTCTCATCAGTCCATATTTGTCCATCCATCCATCCATCCATTATCTTTACCCGTTTATTCCATTTTGGGTCACGGGGGTCGCTGGTGCCCATGTCCAGCAATCACTGTGCGAGGGGCGGGGTACACCCTGGACGGGTCGCAAGTCCATCACAGGGCCACATAGAGACAAACGAGACAAACAACCATTCACTCTCTCACTCACACCTAGGGACAATTTAGAGTTACCAATCAGTCTAACATGCATGTTTTTGGTCTGTGGGAGGAAACCGGAGTACCCAGAGAAAACCCATGCATGCACGGAGAGAACATGCAAACTCCACCCAGAAGGCTCCTGGACCGGGGTTTGAACCAGGGACCTGCTCGCTGAGAGGCAGCAGCTCTACCAGTTGCGCCATCGTGCTGCCATATTTGTCTAATAAAGTGGAAAAATTCATAAATGTGTCGCTTCACTGTATACTTCGCATCTATTATGCGTCACTGCTGACGAGTCACATTTGTTACGTGTAACCGCTGACAACCCGGAAATGTGGGCTAGAGTTGTACCAAAAATTAATGGGCTGCCAAATGGCGGCCGCGGGAGCATGCACGGAAGGACTTTAACAAGAATTTAACAAGATTAACACTTAAAGACAATTATTTGTTTGCTCTAAATTATAGCAAAGATGTGTGTCAGTCTAACGTTTACTTAATAAATGCACTTTAATGGTCAAATCAGCTGTATTTCGCCGTGGCGGTGCAGCTGTTTTGACGGTCAGTCCAAGCAGCGAGCAGAAGGAAGGTAGGGGTAATATGGCAAGCTGATTGTCTCATTAAAAGCTGGAGAAGATTCTCAGTCATCCAGGACATAGTAAATTCAAAAACCTTCAAGCAAAAAAACAATAAAGTAAAAAATAAAATATAATGAATAAAGTCCAGTTGTTTTTGGCTTTTAACTTTTTTGAATTTGTCATTATAGCCACGTTTACCTATTGCATGATACAACAGCATGCCATACTTCTATTACTATTTTGCTGCCATCAAGTGGCTAAAAGTGGTACTGCTCAAATTTTTTTTTTCAGTCAGAATGAATGAAAACGGTCATATCTCAGCCACAAAAAGGTTTATAAATACGGGGAAAAAATCCATAAATATGTTACTTCGGCCTTTCAGTCGCAGGGCATGCAAATTATGCATAAAACCCATGACTTATACGCCGAAAAATACAGTAATTCTGACTTTACACTAGCCGTGTTTTTTGTTGTAGTCGAGGCTTAAATTTGACGCATTTTAAACCAGGCTCGTCTGGTTTTACCAGCCTTATGTATGTTTGTGCCTGTAGGTCAGTCCATGTATGGTCTGAGCCACTCAAAGCCTCGGCGACTACAGTGGACATGGCTCGGTCACGCAGAGCTTCAGTTCGGCAGCTGCACGCTGCACGTCTCCACACTGCAGATGTTTGTCCTACTGCACTTCAACAGTCAGGAGGTAACACAAACATCTCCTCTATGCTTCAGTGTTGGTGTCCTAGTTCTGAGCTGTCACATGGATGGACATGTCAGGAGTTGTGTTCTGGTTGTTGTGCAGGAAGTCAAAGTTGAAGTTCTGCTGGAAGAGACGGGTCTGTCTGCTGTGGTCCTGCTGCATGCTCTGCAGCCGCTCATCAGTGAAGGAGGACCGCTGACCTGCAGCCCACCAGGACAACCCAGCCAGGGTCAGATGCTCAGTCCTTTAACTTCCTCACGTTCCCCTTCTGCTCTACTCCTTGAGGCCTCACCCGTTTCCTGTCTGACTCCTCCCCATCTCCACCTCTCCTGTTTGATTCCTTCACTTCTTCTCTTTGCCTCCTTCCTTTGTCTCTTCTGACTCCATCTCCTCGCAGGCATTCTGCGGTTAAATCAGCAGGTGGTCTCCCACAGCCTGCAGGACGACCCAGCGACGCTGCGACTGCTGCCCAGACAGACGTACCTGAACGTAGACGAGGACGCGGCAGGAACTCTAGAGCGGAAGAGGAACTTTATCTACTGCCTGATAGTTCACATCATGAAGCAGGAAAAGGAGATGCACATTGATAACCTGGTTTTCAAGGTGAGACGGAACGATTCACGATTCACTTGCAGCTCCGCCTCCAGATCTAACTGCATCTTCCCTCTTTCAGGTGATGGACTCATGTCAGAAGCAAGAAGCATCTCAGTCTCCAGGAGGTGGTCGGTTCAGCTGCAGCACCGGAGACGTGCTCTCCTGCATCATGCACGTCATCAGCAAAGGCTGCATCCGCCGCAACGAGGACAACCCACATATCGTGGAGTTCGTTCCTGAAGACCCATCCACGCCGCAGAAAGGCCAGGCCCAGTTCTCCTTCAGCCGCTCCGACTCCAGGAAGGACGCCACCGCCACAGATTGTCTGGCTGACATCAGGTGTGACCCTGACCTCTGAACCCACACACTGTCTGTCAGAACATTTTTATACTAAATGAAAATAAAACTTGTTCCTGCTTCACTTTGGCTGTAAAATTATTTTTTTCTGTGGAGAATATCTGAAAACTTCTATTAAATCTAAATAAACTGTAATTTTGATCAAACTGAGACGCATCTCTTTTTTTTAATGAACAATTTTAACTTGAACATTTGTTTCTGATTTTAATCAAATCATCATCATTTCACACAGCAGAGCCTCCGTATTATAAAACAAACAACAACAAGGTGGTGTTTGAACTCTAAACATTCGTGACCTTCAGTTTAATGTTAAGTAGTTCCAGTGTTTGACAGCAGGGGGCGCTGCTGAAACACTTTAAAACGTTCATTTTATTCAAACAAAACGAGTGAAACTGATGTCAGACTTTAATTTATCAAAGATTTATGAATAAATCAGTAAATCAGCTGAACAGTTCCCCCACCTGGTTCAGGCTCCAAGTCTCTCAAACGAGATCTGAATAAATTAAAAACGTCTAAAACTTAAATTATAAATGATCGAGCGTTCATGTTTTTTCTGCTCGTCTATAAAAATGTTTGAGTTTTGATCCGATTTAATGTCAGCAGCTCGTGGTTCTGACTTGAGTCCAGGACCCGGTTGTGTTTCTGGTGTTTGTTTACAGTCTGGTACCGTCCGGGCCCCGGTTTGTGTTTGTTTACAGTCTGATACCAGCGCCGCGGCAGTTTGAGGACGGCGTTCTGGACTCTGTTCTCTTCTCTCTGGGCCGGACCATGACGCAGGAGGAGGTGCGTCAGCTGATGCAGAGGACGGTGCAGCAGGTCTGTTACCATGGCGACTGAGCAGGTTGACCCTCAGCTGCTTCCTGACTCACCTGTCAGGTGTTTTGTCTCTGTTCCGTCAGGTTTCAGCCACTCTCAGTGTGGATTTGGACCGGGCTGAGCATCTCCTGATCCACTGCAGGTGGAACGTGGACCTGCTGGTGCAGCGCTACACCGACGACCCCGACGCGCTCATTGTGGCCGCCGGCCTCAAGAGCCGGAACCCGCAGCCATTGCCAAGCCCCATCTCCTCCTGCCCCGTGTGCCTGAACCAGCCACCCGCTGGCTCAGAACCAGTCCCAACGCTGAGCTGCACGCACTACTGCTGCCGGGTCAGTCCAGTTCTTCTGCTGTCTGTGTGTGAGACTGGTTCTGTTGGGTCCAGTGGTACTTTTATATGTGAGGGCATCAAGGTTCTACTCACTTCTTTTGACCACTCAACTCTAACACAAACACAAAAACACAAAACCATGTGTCAGAATCAGAACCAAAGGAGGACGGGGCTGTGACTGGGTGGTGTCAGAATCAGAACCAGGGCTGTGGTTGGGTGGACCCTGTTCACTCTGCTGCATGAAGCTGGAGGCTCCTTCAGAGGAAGAGGAGTTCAGCTCTGTGGTTCCTCGTCTAAAGAACTTGATGAAAGTGAAATGGACCCTGAATCAACTGGTTCTGGTTCTGATCACTTGGTCTTTTCACATCAATAAACTCAGTTTTCTCAAACAGCAGCGGTGGAAAACCAGACTTTTTTGTTTTCATTTGTTTATTTTTGTCTCTGATGTTTTGGACTGTCTCTGTGTGTGGCTGGTGCTGCCGGGTCAGAACCGCCTCGTTCCTAACGCGCCTGGTTCTGTTGTGCTTACAGTCGTGTTGGCAGGAGTACTTGACAGCGAGGATCGAGCAGAACCTGGTCATGAACTGTGACTGTCCAATCACGGACTGTCAGGCTCAGCCTACAACTCGGTTCTTCCTCAGCATCCTGACGGACCAGGACACCGTTGCCAAGGTAACGCAGCAGGTCAGAGACACGGTCCTGAGCGTGACCTGTGCAGGTGTTTGACGCTGTGCTGTTCTTGCTCAGTACGAGAACGCCCTGCTGCGAGGCTACGTGGAGTGCTGCTCCAACCTGACGTGGTGCACCAACCCGCTGGGCTGCGACCGGATTCTTTGCAAGGAGAACACGGGCAGCATGGGGACCTGCTCCAAGTGCTGCTGGTCCTCCTGCTTCAGCTGCAACTTCCCCGAGGTCAGCGGTGACACACCTGTACACCAGAACATCCTACGATGGAGATAAGATCCATTAAAACAATGAAAAATGTCTCCATACACATCAGTGGTGTTCATTTAAAGCCAATCCTGTTTGGACCTCCAGCTCAGACTTCAGAACCATCATTCAAAGTTTAAACGGGTCACAGGAAGTACCAGTCATAGGTGTGTGTCCTGAGTGTCTCTGCTGCAGGACTCATGGCTTCCTCTCAGAGCTCAGAGTTTTCTCTTCGAACAGGAAGTAGAACCATCAAACAGAACCTTATGCTGCTTACGGGTCAGGAATTGCTTTGATCCGAGTTCCAAATCAGTTTTCTTCATATTATTTACAGAACCTAAAAAAGTACCGTATTTTCCACCGTATAAGTTGCATCAGTCCAAAAAAAGTAATAAAGTGGAAAAAATATATAAATAAGTCGCTTCGCCGTATACGTCGCATCTATTCTGCGTCACCGCTGACCCCCGAGAAATGTGGGCCGGTGTTGTGCCAAAAATCAATTGGCTGCCAAATGGCGGCCGCGTGAGCACGCACAAGAGGACTTTAACAGGAATTTAACTAGATAAACACCTAAAAACAATTATTTGCTTAGCATTATAGTAAAGGTGTGTCTCAGTCTAACTTTTCCTTAATAAATGCGCTTTAATGGTCAAAACAGCTTCATTTCGCCTGGGCGCTGGTGTTCCTCCCCGCTCCGCCGCCAGAGCGGGGACGAAGGCTCCGGCCATGAGCTCTGGAGCCTTCCTCCGCCTGCACCTTGCTGCTTCCTGGAGCCGTGAAACACCCCCTTGCTCTCATCTTGGGCAGTGGAGGAAGGCTGTGGAGCTTGTAGCCGAACCACGACGGATGGATGGCAGGATGGGTGGATGGATGGGTGGCGCATCGCCACAGAGGAAATGTGCCCAGTGGGAGCCAGCCAGACATGGGGGGGAATGTTCCTCACGAGTGGGGATCCTCCGCCGCCGTGTGGCCGTCCCTTCCACCGGGTTGAATCCCCGGACAGACTGCGGACCCATTTACAAACTTTCTTTCTGCTGCTCCTTCACCGTTTTGGGCTCCATATTTATTACCTTCAGTTTGTAATCTGCAAAATATGATTTTCTGTTTGGGAGCGTTTTACTTGTGTTACGTTTTTCTCAGGGGCGGCTGTGCCTGAGTGGTTAGAGCATTCGTCCTCCAATGTGAGAGTTGGGGGTTCGAACCCACCTGCAGTCACATGCTGAAGTGTCCCTGGGCAAGACATTGAACCCCTCATAGCCTCCAATGTGTGTTCCATTGGTGTTTGAATGTGATAAAGCTCTGATTAGTCTCTTTAGAATGATTTGTTCAATTAGCTTTGTAGAGCTCTAGTAGAGTGCTGTATGAATGGGTAAATGAGGCACAGATTGTGTTGTAAAGAGCTTTGAGTATCTTGAAATAAGATAGAAAGGCGCTATACAAATAGTCCATTTACCATTCAGTTGTTTCTAAGTGAATGTTTGTGTGTGTGTGTGTGTGTGGGGGGGGGGGGGGGGGGGGGTGTAGAGGAACAACATAAAAGCCTAGAGGGCCCTCTAGCAGCTGCAGCTGGTGGTACTGGTTCATGTCTATGAATAAACATCGAATGAACCTCAGTCAAAAATTGTGTTATGAATATGGGGGAAAAAAAGTGTATTGGTCACGTCGGTGTATAAGTCACAGGACTTGCAAATTTATGCAAAAAGGTGTGATTTATACACCAAAAAATACAGTATTCACCTCTTTCTGTTCCTATAACTGTCAACAAAGTTAAATCAAGTTTCTGCAGAGAAATACTAATTTAATAAATAAATAAAAAAATTGAGTGCATAAATATTCACCCCTCTTTAAAGTGACGGTTCTGATCCAACTTTTTATCGGCTCTGAGGTGGTCAGGACTTCTCTAGTTTCTTACTCTGATGAGGATGAGGTAGTCCAGGTGTTTCCAGCAGCCGCTAGTGCTGTTTAGGATTCTGGTTTAACCCCCCCCATGCTCTGCTCTCAGGCTCATTACCCGGCTAGCTGCAGCCACATGTCTCAGTGGATGGACGATGGAGGGTTTTATGAAGGGATGAGCATGGAGGCTCAAAGCAAACACCTCGCCAAGCTGATCTCCAAACGCTGCCCCAGCTGCCAGGCTCAGATCGAAAAGAACGAGGGCTGCCTGCAGTAAGTTATCATGGCTGGGGGGGTGAGGAGGAAGATGATGACTGAGACTTCTCTGCTCTGTTCTCAGTATGACCTGTGCCAAATGTAACCATGGATTCTGCTGGCGCTGCCTGAAGCCCTGGAAACCAACTCACAAAGATTATTACAACTGCTCCGCCATGGTTGGTTCACAGCGTGTCACATGACCCTCTCTGTCCAATCAGAGACGAGAGGACAACCTGCAAACAGTTTGGGTTGTTTCTTTGTCTCAGTGGAAACATGAAAACTGATCAACAGGCTGAACATGTCCTGGACCCACTGAAACTCAGGTTCTGGAGCTGTTTGTTTTATTCTGCAGGTGAGTAAAGCTGCTCGGCAGGAGAAGAAGTTCCAAGACTACAATGACAGATGCACCTTCCACCATCAAGCCAAGGTACCAGAACCTGAACCCAGAATTTAGTCCTCAACACGATCTTTGATTTGCAGTTTTAACCCTGGGGTCAGGTGGTTGAAGGAAGCTGTTGACTTAAAGAACTTTCAGGAAATAAAAATGAAAATTCATGTGATCAGGCTTTTCTCCAGGGCAGCTTCAGGAAGCTCCTCCTCCAGGTACATAACCCTGCTGTTGCTGTTCTAACTCGAAACAAAAATAACCTGACATTTCAGCAGAAACTACCAAAGCAGCACCAATAAACATTTTGTTTATTGAAAAGGTCTGTAGTGATTCGGAAAAACACAAAATATGAAATTTTTCTAGAAATAAGATCCAAAGTGGAATAAATGGAGTGAAGCCATTACAGGCTTCAATTCAATTCACTTTATTTCTATAGCACCAAGTCACAACAGAAGTCGTCTCACTGTACAAAAACATCCACATAAATTATTTAAAGTTCTCAATCTAAGGAAGCAGCAGATTGTGTTGAATCTTCACTTTGTCACAGTCTTTCATCCTGAGCAAGCATAAAGGAGACTGTGGAAGGAAAAACTCCATTTTAACAAGAATAAACTTCCAGCAGAACCAGGCTCAGGACGAGCGGTCATCTGCTTTGACTGGCTGGTTTGAGAGGACAGGAAGTAGAAACAGACAAGCACAGAATGGCAGGTCCAGATGTAGTTTCTATAGGAGGAGAGACAAAAATCATGTAAAGATAGAAATAATTATGAATACAAACAGGTAGAGTAAAGACAGCAGCAGAGTGAGGAAATGTGGTCAATTTATCCTCCAGCAGTCTAAGCCTATAGCAGCAGAACTAAGAGATAGTTCAGGAAACTCAAGACTGGTGGAAAAGCGCTCAAACCGTAATGAACTGAGCAGAGTTGGGGCTGAGTAGGAGTGGTGGAAAAGGAGCATTAGAGTTACCATTCAGTCTAACATGCATGTTTTTGGTCTGTGGGAGGAAACCAGAGTACCCAGAGAAAACCCATGCATGCACAGAGAGAACATGCAAACTCCAACCAGAAAGGTCCCAAGCTGGGATTTGAACTGGTGACCTTGTCAATGAGAGGCAACAGCTCCACCAACTGAGCCACCAGAGAGCACCAAACTAAAATGAAATAAATACAGTAGGGCTCTTATTGTGAAATTTCTTCAAATGTTTTCAGTGGTTTCCTGCAGCAATCAGGATGTGTTGATGCGTTGTCTGTCAGATCTCCAGAGGACGAACCACTTCCTGCTTTCATCTTTACCTGTGGCGTTTTGTGTTGCAGGATTTTGCTGCCAGCCTGGAAAACAAAGTGTCATCTATTAATGAGGCTCTGCAGATGAAGTCGCTTACCTTTGTAATTGACGCCTGTAAAGTCCTCGCTCAGGCTCGAAAGGTACTGTCCTTTTCCTCGGTGGTCCTGCTCACTGAACCAGAGAAATGCTAGAAGGGCTAGATCCTGATCCCCTGGGGATCAGGTCTGGACCTCAGGACAAGTCGATACCTAATCACTTGTCTGGACTAGCTTGGAGCTCTGCTATCTCATATCATTTTTGTTGTACCTCGTCAATCTCTAGGTGTGATAGCAAATTTTTCTCTTGTCCAAAGTTGTTTCTGACTCAATCTGGATGATGGGATCAAATTTTCCACATTCCCGACATCTCCTCCATAAAACCCCTCTCTCTAGGCTTGCTCATATAGTAGCGTTCCAACAATGTTAAGTTCTCTGCCCATGTCCATGCATGTCTCGTTTCAGTAGCCCATTTCTCATCAAGATGTCCTGGTTCCCCCAACATCTGACAAGGTCCTTGTTAATCCATGCCACGTCGAAGCTGGCATGGCCTCATTTTTATGTGTCTCGCACATTATGTAACAGAGGTTGCTCAGAGATTGGCACTGGGATTTGAACTCTAAACCCCTGATCTTCTCACACAACTTGTAGCTCGCCCTACTCTACAACTTGGGTGGTTCTGTTTTACTTTCAAACTCGGGTCCTCTACCTGAGAGTTTGAGGGTTCTGTTCAGTATCTTAGCTGTTTCTAGGACTGAGCTCTTCTGGACAGAGATCTCTGAGGTTGTTCCTGGGATCTGTTGGTGCCACTCTTCCAGTTTGGGGGTCACAGCACCAAGAGCTTCAATGACCACTGGAACTACTGACTCTTTGAATCCACATCTTCTGTATTTCCTCTTTCAGTTCTTCTCCAGCTGCTCCTTCTTCTGATGTTACAGTCACTTGGGATTGCTACATCAATCACCACTGCCTTCTTCTCTTGCTTGTCAACCAGCACAATGTCCAGCTGGTTAGCCATCACCTGTTTGTTGATCTGGATCTGGAAGTCTCACAGTATCCCAGCCCTGCTATTCTCCACCACCCTTGATGGCATCTCCCACTTTGACTGTGGGACCTCCAGCCTATACTCAGCACAGATGTTCCTATATATTATTACAGATGTTCCTGTATATTATTCCAACCACATGGTTATGGTGTTCCATGTATACTTTGCTTGCCTGGATCCTACAAACTGGATTCCAAAAAAAGTTGGGACACTAAACAAATTGTGAATAAAAACTGAATGCAATGATGTGGAGATGACAAATGTCAATATTTTATTCGTAATATAACATAGATGACAGATCAAAAGTTTAATCTGAGTAAATGTAACATTTTAAAGGAAAAATATGTTGATTCAAAATTTCACAGTGTAAACAAATCCCCAAAAAGTTGGGACAAGTAGCAATAAGTGGCTGGAAAAAGGAAATTGAGCATATAACGAACAGCTGGAAGACCAATTAACACTAATTGGGTCAATTGACAACATGATTGGGTATAAAAAGAGCTTCTCAGAGTGTCAGTGTCTCTCAGAAGCCAAGATGGTAAGAGGATCACCAATTCCACCATTGTTGCGCAGAAAGATAGTGCAACAATACCAGAATGGTGTTACCCAGCGTAAAATAGCAAAGACTTTTAAGTTATCATCATCAACCGTGCATAAAATCATCAAAAGATTCAGAGAATCTGGAACAGTCTCTGTGCGTAAGGGTCAAGGCCGTAAAACTCTACTGGATGCTCGTGATCTCCGGGTCCTTAAACGTCACTGCACCTCAAACAGGAATGCCACTGTCAAGGAAATAACAGAATGGGCTCAGGAATACTTCCAGAAAGCATTGTCAGTGAACACAATCCGCCGTGCCATCCGCCGTTGCCAGCTGAAAATCTACAGTGCAAAGCGGAAGCCATTTCTAAGCAAGCTCCACAAGCTCAGACGTTTGCACTGGGCCAGGGGTCATTTAAAATGGAGTGTGGCAAAATGGAAGACTGTTCTGTGGTCAGATGAGTCACGATTTGAAGTTCTTTATGGAACAATGGGACGCCATGTCATCCGGACCAGAGAGGACAAGGATAGCCCAAGTTGTTATTAACGCTCCGTTCAGAAGCCTGCATCACTGATGGTATGGGGTTGCATGAGCGCTTGTGGCACGGGCAGCTTGCATGTCTGGAAAGGCACCATTAATGCAGAGAACTATGTTCAAGTTCTAGAACAACATATGCTCCCATCTAGACGTCATCTCTTTCAGGGAAGACCCTGCATTTTTCAACACGATAATGCCAGACCACATTCTGCAGCAATCACAACATCATGGCTACGTAGGAGAAGGATCCAGGTACTGAAATGGCCAGCCTGCAGTCCAGATCTTTCACCTATAGAGAACATTTGGCGCATCATAAAGAGGAAGGTGCGACAAAGAAGGCCCAAGACGATTGAACAGTTCGAGGCCTGTATTAGACATGAATGGGAGAGCATTCCTATTTCTAAACTTGAGAAACTGGTCTCCTCTGTCCCCAGACGTCTGTTGAGTGTTGTAAGAAGAAGGGGGGATGCCACACAGTGGTAAAAATGGACTTGTCCCAACTTTTTTGGGATTTGTTGACGCCATGAAATTTGGAAACAACAGATGTTTCCCTTAAAATGATACATTCTCTCAGTTTAAACTTTTGATCTGTGATTTGTGTTCTATTCTGAATAAAATATTAGATGTTGGCACCTCCACATCATTGCATTCAGACAATTTGTTTAGTGTCCCAACTTTTTTGGAATCCGGTTTGTACATCCTGTTATGTGTTGAATTGTCTCATGGACATCTTTGCACAGCCTACATCTTGGGTGTTGTCTGGTTAGGTAGACCCAAGCCTCTACTGTTATTGTGTTGAGGACCTGTTTTTGTACCATTGTGATTAGTTCCTCTGTGCTGTCCTTCAGTCCAGCCCTCTCTAGCCACTGGTAGCATTTGTTGATATCAGCCACTTCCTCAATCTGCCGGTGGTACATGCCATACAGGGGTTTATCTTCCATGATGGCTCCTCTTGTTCTGCTTCTTCCACCTTGGGTTTCTGCTGCTGCCTGAGACATTCACTCATCAGTTCATCGATGGCTTTTCTCCTGATGCACTCCAGGATCCTAGTTGTTTCATCCTGTATTGTAGCTCCGACACTCACTAGTCCTCTTTCTCCCTCTGCGGATTAGCATTTTTGCTAACTTTGAAAACCTTTACTGGAATTGGCTCCTGCTAAATTTAAATCTGGAAAATTTCCGCAAATTTTTTTAAAGACAGTTCCCTACACCAAAATCATACAATACTATGATTATTTTCACAGCGCTATGTGGAGCTAAACAAAGCTACCACCACCCAGTGACATCACCAACCTCCCAGTATATTTTCTTTTCTCATATTTACTGCAAAACAGTCTCTGACTCATGGTGTCAGTTTACAGTCAATAACTGAGACTTTAACATGCAAGAAGCCAAACCAGAACAGGAACATAACATGATAAAAAAAAACATCCTGATGCATGCTCAATAATCCAGGTAGAAAAATCCAAAAAAGTTCAATCTGGTCCTCTGGACATTCAAAAAAACAAAAAACAAAACAAAGCAAGAAAATGTAGAAACGTTTCGTCTCTCATCCGACAGACTTCCTCAGTCTGAGGTGCTGTATTCAGCTCAGTCTCTTAAATAGCATCTTCTCAGAGCAAACTGGTTGATCCACTCTGAGAAGGTGCTATTTAAGAGACTGAGCTGAATACAGCACCTCAGACTGAGGAAGTTTCTACATTTTTTTGCTTTTTCTTTTCTTTTTTTTTTTTGTTTTGAATATCCAGAGGACCAGATTGAACTTTTTTGGATGATTAAAAAAAAAACATTTTCACACTCAGAAACATTGCACACATAGTTCCTACCCAGGATGCTTTGCAACGCTCACACCGTCTCTGGGAAGTGACACTCTCACACATTTCACACATCTTTACTTTAAGACAAACAGATTTATTACTGAGAGAATATTGATGATGACGCACAGCAGCTTTGTAGTTAGTTTATAAAGGTAGTTAACCACAAAAAGGATCATTAAAGTGAGTTAATTCATTATAGTAAATGACATGATGGAGACGTCCGACACACATTGAATGCATCACTCTGCTTCAGCACAGCAGAGTTCTGCTCCTCCTCTTTGGTTCTGATGGACCGGAATAATTTCTGAAAGCTCTCCTCTGAACGGGACATGAACAATATTTCAGAGAAAATACTTTTTGTGTTCATAGAAAAAGTTTCAGATCTTTGAGTTCAGCTCATGAAAAGTGGGAGCAAAAACAAAAGTGTAGCATTTATATTTTTGTTCAGTTTATGTATGGTGGTGTGCAAGTGTGCATTTGTGCGTGTGTGTGTGTGTGCATGTGTTAGCGTGAGCGAGATGCCACACAGCCCTGTCAGTCGTGCTTCTACTGTTTTCTAATTTCAGTGGTTCAGCTGAGATTGGGTCTGTGAGTTAACTGTGACCTGCTTTCTGTCTGCAGGTGCTGGCCTACTCCTGTGTCTATAGCTACTACAATCAGGAGACGGAGAAGATGGACGTGATGGAGCAACAGACTGAGGCTCTAGACCACCAAACCAGTGCTTTGCAGATCCTGCTAGGTTAGACTCTGCAGCACCGTCCTGTAGCTAGAGCTGCTGTTCTCTAAACTGGTCTTACCGATTTCTGTCTTTAGAGGAGACTCTACTGCAGTGCACTGACCTGGCCTCGTGTGTCCGCCTACTAAAGCCAGAACACCTGAACACAGGACTGGAACTCATGCGACGCATCCAGGAGCGTCTGTTGGCCATCCTGCAGCACTCCACACAGGTACTGGGCCAAAACCTGGAACTGGTTAAATCAGCCCTGAAACCAGTTTAAGTCCAACCTCAGTCCAGTTTAAAACCAGTTTGTTCATTACCCTTTTTAGCTGCTCCTGCAAAAGAATTGACAGTCTGGACAAAAAGAAAAAAACACTCTTAAAATTTGGAACAAAATACAATCAGTTTTTAAATTATCAAAACAAATTTCACTTTTAACAAATAGGATTTATGAAGTCTTTAAACCAAATAAGTTACCGGTAAACACTGGGTTTAGAAACTAGTCTAACTATGGACTACCTCATAAGCTCTATTCACACGGGATTAGTTTTACCTAGGGACCACATGTATTAAATAAATTACTCTCCGTCTGTTTTTTATGTGGCGCATTCGCACAGGATAACCAAAATCTGAGATTTAGCTGAAATTTACAGACATCTTCCAGATATGATGTTAATGCACTGCGTTGTCACGACCGGGCCGGTCCATAATAATGTGCTTAATTTTCAGGCCAAGACGGTCTAAGGCTTTGATGTGGTTTTACACATCAGCACAAAGAAAACTAAAGAATGCACAATATAAAATTATGTTAATCTACTTGTTGAGGAGGAGGCAGGATAGCGCACGTGAGCGGCCACACGTCCACTGTCCCTCCGGTGAAATGGACTTGCAACCTGTCCAGGGTGTACCCCGTTTCTCGCACAGTGCTGGCTGGACATGGGAGTTGCGATAGATGAAGCTTTGTCCCTACTTACCCATGTCCCAGGAGAAATTTGATAGTCTGCTCTTATCCAAGGCCAAACAGGGGAGTCGGATTCAGATAAACCACAACTGTTGATTTTTCTTCAGGCAGACTGTTTTTTTCTTGTCAGCCTTGAGTCCTGCTGGAACCTTCTGGTCCAAAATGGCCAAATTCATGGGTATCCACTCCACTGATCCGTGTTATGAGCCTTCCTCAAGGTCAATCCCAGCATGCTGACGAGTCCTAGGAGCCGCAGGTGGCCTGCGATTCTCACAAATCACCTTCATCTTACGGTTTAGCTCATAAATCAGCTGATTATAAGTACTCGTAGCACAAACCAAACCTTCGCACTGATTCGGAAGCTTTGTCATGGCTGAAACTGCTGCCGATGTCTTCTTCAAAAGTCAATAAAACAGAGCCCCGCCGATGCCAAAGAGCAGAACCCCTGCTATCATAAATCCAAATATATAAACGTCTTCAGCGTCCTCCTGAGACAGGACTGAGAGACACTACGCCATTAGTGCTTAGTGTGTTTTTAGTTGATGTTTTTCTTGGTTCATATCTTAGATGTTATCATTGTTTTTCTTTTACATGTTTATTGTTGGATGTAACTGGGACCCTGTGTACATAATTTCTGCGAACGACAATAAATAATCTCTGACTCTGACTATACTATATGATTTAACTCTATATATAAGGATATAAAATATACGCAAAACACTAATAATGTAAAATAATATGGTATATTTAACAGCAGCCTGACAATGAGTCTGTTGTGAGCAGATGGGTATGAATACAGCAGCTTAAAGGCCATATCACCAACTAGAGTGGCATTACAGTGATTTTTCTGGTTAGGGATTTGTGAGTCTTAACAGCTTAAGGGTAGAAGCTGTTCCTCAGTCTAGTGGTTCTACACTTAATGCTCTGCAACCTCCTGCCTGACAGGAGCGGGGCAGTGTGTGTGCTGGCTGAGTGGGGTCCTTCATGATGCAGGTGGCCCTCTTCCTGCATCTGGAGGTGTAAATGTCTGTGATGGTGGGGAGGCTGACTCCAATAGTCTTCTGTGCAGCCTTCATCACTCTCTGCAGATCTTTTCTGTCTCCAGCTGTGCAGCCCCCTTGCCATAACAGGGAAGGGAGGAGAGAACTGTGGAGAAACTGAAAAAACGAAACGGATCAAAAAACACGAAAAAATATCTGTTCCCGGACCGGAATCACACGCGATCAGTACTGATCGGTACAGTTCTCGTTCGACGTGCCCCTGGGCGCCGATATCGGCGTCCAGAATCTTCCTATCTCTTGTAACGTCACGGAATAACTGCGCATGTGCAATTTTTAATGAGAGTCAATGGATTAGATTCTTGCGCGCCCAAGGGCTGGAAATACGTCACCAATCAGACAATGTTTTTGAAAGAAACAACTTAACTCATCATTAACTATAAAGTATTTATTTTACACAACAACAAAAAATGACATATATTTTGAATATATTTTCATTTTATAATTTCATTTTTATTTTATTTTTTTAAGTCTTCTATGTAAAATTGTGAGTGGTTCCAGTGGGTGGGCGGCGCCCGAGCGCCCCCTACAGATGAGCCGCCACTGAGTTGTGCCCTTATTAATACAGTGATGTGCTTAGAGTTCTGTCTTTTTGCACTCTGTACACTTTCATACTAGTAAAAAATAACACTGTAAACAGGAATGTGTGGACTATCTTACCTTAGAGGGGATTTTTTTTTCCTTTTTTTTTTCTCTCGTCATTATTTCGTCTTTATTTATTTATTGTATTCATTGTTCTATTATAACTTTTGGTTGTGTCATTATTGCCATCTCATTTTCTTTTACCAATTTATAATGTGGAACATTATAAGTTGGTAAATGTTCTTATTATAACTTGATAAATTGCTGTAAGAGATGGAACAAATAACTATGGAAAAGTGTCACCATTTGTTATAAAAATAAAAAAAAGCTAAGTTTAAAAAAAACCTTTTTTTCTAATTCTACTTCACTGTGAAACCACTTGGTCTGCATAGAACTGTTTTTTTCTCAGTTTAAACTTTTCTGTTTGACTCATTTGTCTGTTTTGTTCAGGACTTCAGGGTTGGGTATCAGTCCAGAGACAGCCAGGAACCAGAGTCCACTCAGGCGTCCAATCTTTCCAACAACACGGACATCAACAAAGGGTGAGCTGAACCTGAACGCACCTGTCCTCGCTCCTCTGGTTCTGGTTCTGTTTGTTAAACCAGCTTGGTTACAAACTACCTGTACAGGTGTGGTGTTCATGTGTTTCTCTGTAACTCACTGAAACTCTGGTGTCGATCAGGTCCAAGTCAAACCGAGCTTCGGACTCAGGGGACTCAGACAACAACAATTACACTGAAGAGGACGGTGGCGAGGAGGTAGAGGAGGATGATGATGAGTATGATGAAGAGTATGTCCCTGAGTGGCATGAAGACTACGACGAGGACGACATAGACGAGGACGACTTCTTCACTGATGACGATGAGTCCGAGAACCTGGAGAGAACCTTTAGCCCGTATGACTGAGTCGATCCAGAACTCAAAGATTTCTCTGAGATGGAAGATGGCGAGGCTGAAGCCCCGCCCCTTCTGAAGAACCATGTGACGTTAGCCGAAGACATCAAAACGTCATCCCACACCCAAACTCCCCGACACATTACTTCACTTGCTTTCACTTCTGATTTTCTCTACAGTTTGGAAGAAGATGAGACAAAACACAACTTATGTTTGAAGAAAAACGTCAGAGTTTAGTTTAGAAAATAAAAAGTCTCTTTTTTTTCTGAAGGTTGTTCGACATTTCAATTCACGATTCTCCTGAGAAAATGTTTAAAATCAGTTTGAAACTTATTTGAACTCATTTTTAAACAAGTCAAACCAAAATGTAACCAATTTGAATTAATCTGGAACCACTCTAAACCAGTCAGAACCAGTTTGAACTTGTTTAAAACTGATTTAAACCCGTCTGAAACATGTTAAGCTGCCTATAATCAATTTAAACCAATCTAAAAACAGTTTTAGCTAATCTGAAATCAATTTAATGACTGTCAGTCTGAGGACAAGTCTTTAACTAATTTAAACTAGTTTGACATCACTTTAAGTTACCTGAAACCACTTTAAACCAGTAAGCAATGAATACCAGTCCGTAATCAATAAAATTGAGTTGGAACCAGTTTAAATCTATCTGAACAGTTTAAATTCATCTGTTCTGGTTTCAACTAACGAGGAACTAGTTCATACTAGTCAGTTTATTCTGGAACAACCCAAAACTAGGACCAGTAAAAAAATAAAAATTTTGATACTGGTTTAAACCAGTCTGACACTAGGAAATCTGGTGTTTAACCAGTTGTATTTCATCTGTAACTGATTTAAACTAATGAGGAAGGAGTTTAAATCATTTTGGAATCCATTTTTTCTGGATTCATGGAGAGCTAGCCTGGAACTAACGGTCTGAAAACAAGTTGAACTAATCTGTTTGAATTAATCTGAAACTAACTTTACACAGTCTCAAAACTAATACAAGTTAGTTGGCAGTTGAAACTGGTTTGAAACCAGTTGAAAATCCAGTTTCATTTCAGCTTACAAAGCATTTAAAGATGCATGTAAAACTGATTTGAAACCACTTTTTGACCGGTGTGAACAGTGTGGAACTAGGTGTTTCTTTGTTACTTTTTTTATCATTGAAAGCGCAGAACCAGTTTGTGGTTCCACTGTCTCCTTCTGACTGAACAGGAACTGGACCCGTTTGGGTCACCAGGACATCTTGGTTTCATTTCTTGCTTCTTTCCTCAGACTAGAAAAAGTAGGATTGACGGTTCTGCCTTGCTTTGTCCTGAAGGAGTCTGCCTTGACCTGACAGCACTATAGGAACTGAAAACCTCTTGTGAACCTTCTCATGTTCAGATGGTCTTTTTTTACTTGTTGGCAAAGCTATGCACATGAGGGAACTGATGCTGAGTGGTGTCACTGCAATAACTGGCTGGGGGGCACCTGATGTGTTCAGACCAGTTTTTGGGTTTGTTGTTCAAGAGCCAAGATGTTTGATGTTTGCTATAATTTTGACAGATCCCATATTCATAATGTTGATGTTCTACAACGTTCTGTTTTCTTTGTCAAAGTTGAGCAACTTCAACCAGCAAGACTAAACAATAAAAGCTTTTTCTGTGATGCTGCAGGCCACCTTGTCTTGTGTTCACATTGATCTGGGCCAGAGGTTTAGGTTCAGTTTTCCAGCTCAGAGGCAGTTTTGTGTTCCAAGTGTTAGCATCGTGACAAGCATCCAGCAGTCATTAAAATCATCAAGCACACGTGTGACTTGGAGTACCAGCCAGAAGCTTGATGACGGAGACAGCCTGAGGTCGAGGGTACACCTGCTAAATGTTAGTGGGGTTATACTTCTGGGCCTGTATTTATAAGTTTCATCCTATGTATGTGTGTATGTACGTCTGTATACATACAGTGCCTTGTGAAAGTATTCGGCCCCCTTGAACTTTTCAACCTTTTGCCACATTTCAATCTTCAAACATAAAGATATAAAATTTTATTGTGAAGAATCAACAACAAGTGGGACACGATCGTGAAGTGGAATGAAATTTATTGGATGTGTCAAACTTTTTTAACAAATAAAAAACTGAAAAGTGGGGCGTGCCATATTCGGCCATCTTGCATTAATACTTTGTAGCGCCGCCTTTTGCTGCAATTCCAGCTGCAAGTCTCTTGGGGTATGTCTATCAGTTTTGCACATGGAGAGACTGAAATGCTTGCCCATTCTTCTTTGCAAAACAGCTCGAGCTCAGTGAGGTTGGATGGAGAGCGTTTGTGAACAGCAGTCTTCAGCTCTTTCCACAATTCACAGAGTAAGCCACAAAAGGTCATAGCTAAGGAGTATGGCTGTTCACAGAGTGCTGTGTCCAAGCATATCAATGGAAAGTCTAGTGGAAGGCAAAATGTGGCAGGAGAACACAGAGTTCTAGAATTGTGCCGCTCAAGGTGGCTGCATGTTGGAGCAGCTCTGTTACTTTCATTCTGAGATTTTGCTTTAGGAAACTTTAATTCCTCTTTTTCTGGATGTAAATCACATTTTTTGGATGATTGTTTCCTCTGGTATCAGATGCTGTGCAGCTGGAAGGATTTTTACTGAAACTTTTTAAGTTTTGGACATTTGTTATGATGCGTAACCATGGCAACAAGGCAGTTTTCTACAACCAACCAGCAGATTAACATCTCAAAAGCTCAAATAATATCTCAACTACAGCCCCAAATCTCAAATGAGTTGGAAAGGATGTTCTGTGGATGCATTCTCGTCTACCTGCCAGCTGTGCTCGAGTGCCTGACCACTGAGATCCTGGAACTAGCAGGAAACACGGCTCATGACAGAGGAATGACAGGATCGTCCCCAGACACCTACAGTTGGCTGTCCGCAGCGACGAGGAGCTCGGCAGACTGCTGGGAGGAGTGGTCATTTCTTTGGGAGGAGTTCTGCCCGGCATTCGGGTGGTCCTACAGACCGGGGGAACCAAGAGTCCAGCAGAGTCTGGGTGGACGGATCAGACGACATCTGCAGCCAGTTTCTTAGGATCCACTGTGGGATGGACCTTTACAAGAGATCCTTCCTGTCTACAGCCATCAGCATCTAAAACATCTCTTGATGAAGATAATGAGTTACAACAAAATAATTTCCCTTTGGGATTAATAAAGTATTTTTTGAATTGAATTGAATTGAGAAGATGCACCAGCAAAAGAGATGACCGTGGGCTTCAGCAGATTATCAAACCGAGAAGATTCCAGAATCTGGCAGAGATCCAGAACGAGTGGAATGAAGCGGAGTCACAGCTTCAAAAACCACCACATTCAGACGCATCCGGGAGATGGACTACAACTGTCGGGTTCCTCTGTCCTCTTTTCTGATGGAAGTAAAGTTTGTCTTTCATTGAGAAATCAAGGTGCAACGGTTTGGAGGAAGAAAGATGAGGAACAGAACCCATACTGCTTGAGGTCCTGTGTGAAATATCCACAGTCAGTCATGATTTGAGGTGCAATGCCCGGTGCAGGTGTTGGTAAACTCTGCTTTCTTAAATCCAAGGTCACTGCAACAGTCTACCAGAATGTTTTAGAGGACTTCATAATTCCTTCTGCTGAGGATCTGTATGGAGATGCAGATTTCATCTTCCAGCAGAACCTGGCCCCTGCCCATGCTGCCAGAAGCACCAAAACCTGGTTTGATGGCCCCACTGCTTGACTGACCAGCCAACTCACCAGACCTAAACCCCACTGAGAATCTATGGAGTATTGTCAAGAGGAAAATGAGGAGCACCAGATAAAAATTATGTAAAAATAAGCAAATACTTGAAATCGTTTAAATTGTGGGCCCTGAAACTATCATCTATTAAAGATTAACTTTTTGAATGAAATTATGGAAGTTAAACAACTTTTCCATTATATTTTACTTTTTTAGAAAGTGTCTGTATATGTGTCTTTGATATATACGTACAAGCTGAAGTGGTTGGTGTGTCAGAGACACCACTCCTTGAATCGCCACCTTATCGTGGTGGAGGAGTTTGCACCTGAATGGTCCTAGTAGTTATGCTGTCATGGGTGATGGCCCCTGGTAGTGTCTCCGAAGGCAGATAGGTTCGAGGTGACAGGTCAGACAAAGAGCGATTCAGAAGACTTATATGGACAAATTAAAACAAGGAGCTCTGTGTCTCTTGCCTGGACGTGGGTTACCGGGGCCCCACCCTGAAGCCAGGCCTGAAGGGGCTTGTCGGCAAGCACCTGGTGACCGAGCCTCTACCCATGGGGCCCGGTTGGGCTCAACCTGAATGAGTAACATAGGTTTGCCTTCCTGTGGACCTACCACCTGCAGGAGGGGCTTTACAAATCTGGTGCATGATGTCATGGGCAGTGGCTGAAGGCGGAGGCCTTGGCGCTCTGACCCTGGCTTACCAAAGCTGGCTCTTGAGACATGGACTGTGACCTCTGGAAGGGAAGGAGCCTGAGCTTGTGCGTGAGGTTGAGAGGTATCGACTAGACATACAGGTAGTCCCTCGATTATCGCAGGGTTTACGTCCAGACACCCCTGCGATGGTGAAAAACCACCAAGTAGGAACGCTATATTTATTTAATATTTATATATATTTTAAGGCTTTATAAACCCTTCCCACACTCTTGCAATATTCTAAATTCTTAAACCTAATTAAGTTAAACAACATGTGTATATTTATGCACAGTACTGCAACATTTTACTCACCAGCTCTGCAGACCAGCAGCTCTGTTCCGGTTCAGCAGACAAAGCCCACCGCCCCGTCCAGGTTGATGTGTGCGTGGATAATTGAGCTTCAGGATTATTTGCAACTTTCCTGCCAATTCTGTGAGCTTCATAGACTGATCATTACTTCTTCCTACGTTGCAAAACTTCCCTCCATTTTGGCAGAAAGCAGCAGCTGGAAGCACTATTGGCTTCTGGGTAATGTAGTTCTTTTGACTGGAATTACAGTATAGGCTTATTGAAAGAAAACTACAAAATGGTGGCACCTGTGTGAAGTTTTTATTATTTTTATTTTTTTTTTTTTCCCGTACTGGCCCAATCACGTGAGTAATATTAAAGTTGACAGTCATCTGTCGTGTACAATCTTACATTGAAAAACCACGAAAGAATGAGTCCACGAAAGTTGAACTGCGAATTTGCGAGGGACGACTGTTGGGCTCACCTCGACACACAGCATGCGCTCTGGAAGTGATCTCCTTGAGAGGGGCTGGACCTTATTCCACTCTGGAGTTGCCCATGGTGAGAGGCGCTGAGCTGGGGTTGGTCTACTCTTAGCCCCCCAACTTGGTGTGTGTGTGTTGGAGTTTTCCAGGTGGATGAGAAGGTGGCTTCCCTGCGCCTTTGATTTGGAGGATGAGCTCCGACTGTTGTTTGTTCCTAGGTGTCAAACGGCAGAAGATCCGGCCTTCTTGTCCATGGCAGGGTGCTAGAAGGTGCACCTGCTGTTTATAACACAGCTTCAGATACAACATTAGAAAAAGTAAACATTCAATATCAGGTATTGAGAATTGTTACAGGTGCTTTAAAAACAATCTGGAGAAGCAACATTAGCTGAAATGGGAGAACCACCATTAAACATTAGAAAGGACCAGTTGCTGGAGATGCAAGCTCTGGATGTTACTGGGCTGTCCTGGTTGAAGCATATCTTCAGTGGCGCACAGACAACGCCTGGGGAGTGACAGACCAGGGTGGTGGTTCCCATTTTTACAAAGGAGGAGTGTAGAGTGTGTTCCAGCTATTGTGGGATCACACCTCTCGCCCTCCCCTGGAAAGTTTGCTCTGGCTGACTGTCGAACCTTTGTTTCAAGAGGAGCAATGTGGCTTCTGTTCTGGTCGTGGAACAGTGGACCCAAAGTTACATCATGTCACCAGGTCTCAGCTCCTTACCGGGTCAGATTGAGGACACCAGTTCACTCATCGTTCCAGGGTCTGCTGGTGGATCAGACCAGAATACACCACAAGGAGGACTCGCCTGGAACTGCCCAAGGTAGCTGAAAGTCACTGTGACAGCTTCTGGGGACGATGGGCCATCTGCAACCAAACAGACTGCAGTCTTGTAATTCTGAGATTGTGGGTTGGAGCTCGGGTAGAGTCAGGAAGGGCATCTGGCGTAAAACACTTGCCAAATCTTTCATGCAAGATTTCTCACTCTGACGACCCCTGAAGAAGGGAGCAGCAGGAAGAAAGTTGTTGTTGTGTGAATACCAGCTCATATTGGCACAAGAGGAAATGAAATGGCAGACAAAGGTCCAAATTTTCCAGAAACGCATCAGTTGAAACAGATATCAGATTCAGTCACACAGACGTAAAAAGAGGCAGAAAATGAGGAAATGATGACAAAAACTGTGGGATGAAGAAAAGGTTGATGGTTTTATAGAAATCATTAGAAAACAGGAGAAATGAAGAGAGCTGAAAGAAGCAGGAGGGAGGAAACAGTCGTATCACATCCCAGATGTGGGGACACGGGATTAAACAGGACATTATTCCTAACAGGGAAACGTAGTCCAATAAATGTGAACTCTGCAGACAAGATGAGCATTTGTTTTTGTACTGCCAGAAATAGAGATATGAAAGAATTCAACTGATTAACAGTCTCACTAAAATGAAAGTAAAGTTAAATCTAATTGAATTATTACAAAAGAATTTATAATCTGACAATTCTCAGACTTTGGTGTGTTTTCTGAGTCTCGTTTATTTGAGAGGATGTTTTTTTTGTCGGTCTAAACTCCTTGTTAGCTGAAGGCGTTAATGCATGTAATTGTTGTTTGACAACTGCCAGAGAAAACTGGAGAAACAGTGAGTGGAAGACATCCATCCATCCAACCATCCAACCATCCATCCATTCATCCATCCATCCATCGTCTTTACCTGCTTCTTCCTTTTTGGGTCACAAGGTTCTGTTGTATTCTGCTTATTCTTCATTTAATTCAGTCTTGCAACTCACAACAGGTTCAATGGTGCCCATGTCCAGCCATCACTGGACAAGTGGCGGGGTACACCCTGGACAGGTCTCCAGTCCATTACAGGGACACAAAGAGACAAACAAGACAAACAAGCATTCACTCTCTCATTCACACCTAGAGACAATTTAGAGTTACCAATCAGTCTAACATGCATGTTTTTTGTCTGTGGGAGGAAACTGGAGTACCCAAAGAAAACCCACGCATGTACGGAGAGAACATGCAAACTCCACCCAGAAAGGCCCACGGACCAGGATATGAACCAGGGTGACCACCTCGCTGACAGGTGGCAGCTCTACCAACTGTGCCACTGTGCTGCCCATAAAGAAGACATAAAACCATTAAAAAATAATTTGTTCAGATTCAAGTTCTGTATTATTGAGTTTAAAACATAATTATTCAGACAGCAGACCAGACATTTTATCAGAACTACTTCTCACATTATTCAGAATTGGCAGCGTGGTGGTGCAGTTGGTAGAGCTACTGCATATCAGTGAGAAGATTCCCGGTTCAAGTCCCGGCCCGGGGGCCCTTGTGGAAGTTTGCATGTTCTATCCGTGCATGTGTGGGTTTTCTCAAGGTACTCCAGTTTCCTCCCACAGACCAAAAAGTTGGATAGGATCAAAAATAGAAGAAACAAGAACTGGAAGAAGGAGCAGAAAGGAGGAAAGATTAATAACAAGACTAAGAGTTGGACATATGAGACTCATTTATACACTTTTTCAAATACAAAAACACAATACAGGAAAATGTGAGCACTGTGGAGAAGATGAAACAATACAACATGTTATACTAGAATGTCAGAAATATGAGCAAGAACAAAGATATATGAAGAGAGTTTGGAAAAAAAATCAAAGTTTAACATAATCGATACACAGCAACATAACTTGTGGCACAAACACATACAAGTTATGATTAAATATTTTAAGAAAACAAAATTGATTAATAGAATTTGATTATGTAGTTTATTCATACAGATACTATGATGACCACACTCCATACCAGAGGATGGCGGTAAAGAATACCTTCAGTGTTCTGCCACCCGCCAATAAACTCACGAAGAAGAACACGAGGAAGAAAACCGGAGAAGAAGAAGTGGCGCCGAAGAAAAAGGAATGTTTCCGTAGCAGTGGCGTGTGTAGTAAAAACTAAGCAGAACAAAACAACATTTTCTTGAACGTGTTCATTTTTTGTTAAAAAAACATTTTTACTGTTCGCTGAGTGAACTCGGTAAACGTCGCTGAGCCGTTAACGAACGAGTTTGAGCCTGAAACTGGTTTTGTTTTCTTCCATTAGCCGGCGGCTAACAGCGGCTCCTCGAAGCGCCGCGCTCCGTCTCAAAGGTGTTGTAGCTCGGCTTTAATAAAACACATGGGCCGGGGAGACGCACCCACGCGGAACAGACCTCCCATCGCACCCCCGGGTGAAGACGGGCCTCCGTTCGACAGGGGCCCAGCGGAAAGGGGCCCTCCGCCGCCTGGAGGATGGGGCCCACCGCCGCCTGGAGGATGGGGCCCACCACCGCCTGGAGGATGGGGTCCACCACCGCCTGGAGGATGGGGCCCAAGAGGGCCCCCTCCTTTTGATTGGGACCCAAGAGGGCCTCCACCTCCGGACTGGGACCCACGAGGACCCCCTCACCCTGATTGGGACCCAAGAGGACCCCCTCCTCCTGATTGGGACCCAAG